AATTATTTCAAAAATTTAAATAATCTATTACAGTTTTTGTTAACCATTTTTATTATGGCTTGGCTATTTGAAGCAATTAGTTACTAATATATGTTCTGATAAAAACAGGTAATGTTTGTTCATTAAAGCTCAGAGCAAAAGTTTTTGATCACTTCTTTCAGTGTCTTGTGAGGAACAAAAGAAAACGTGCCAAGGACTAACCACAGCTTATGTTTATAATATTTGTTATGTTTTTTTTTAAATAAAGAGCATTGACCTCTCAAATAGTTTTAAGTAGTTTGCTATTAATTTCTGATTATCGTGTATAATTTTAAATTACATGCTATATGATGATTGTACCTGAATGATGGATTTTTCATTACAAAAATCCTGCAGCATTGAGGAGATATCTGGGGACTCACCAGCAGAAGCTGTTTACATGATGCTATTTGTCTGATTTTTTTTGTGCTCCTACACCTCATATGGAGCAAATTAGCAGCACAATAATTAACCATGCTTTGTGGATACCATCTTTGTTTTAAATGTTGCTTCATTGGCCATTTTTTTTGTTATCATGCTATATATTTCAGTGACTTTAACATAGTTTAGGATGATATTTGGAAATATATCTCATTATAGTCAGAGATTATTCATGTCACATAATTCAAAGCATGTTCTGAATTCAGCTGATTAACAAGTAACATCTACCCAATATATTCCTCACCCATATGACAGACATGGAGTTTTTCATGCTTTATCAATTTGCATATTTAATCTAAGGATTTAAGTTTTCACTTAAGATTGAAATTCTTATTTTGATTTCTCATATATACTTAAATCATCTTAGCTTCAACTCTGAAAATTAATATTTCCCCCCTAAGAATTTTGGAATATTTAGAGAGAAATATAACAATATAATTACAAAACATAATCAGATACTTCCTTAGCCATGGCTATATAACATCTCTATTAATTACTGAACAGATATCTAACCGATTAGGGTCATCTCCAAATATTGCAAACCAATATATAATTAGGCTGGACTGGTAAGTATTAAAATAACTTCCAGATGATTTCTGCAAAAATTTAAGCAGAATTTTAGCTATTAAATATGCAGGAGCTAAAAACAATGGTCTCAGGTAAGACTTAAATAGATAAATGGGAAATTGTGGTCCACATCCCATGATTGTGAGATGTCATGGAATACAGAATTTCATTACTGACATTAGTAACAACTTGTGCGATACAACAGCAGAGAAGCTTGTGTGATACAACGGCAGAGGCAGAGAAGCACACTTAGTAACAGTTGCATATTCATTATAATTTCCAACAGTTGAAGTTATGAATGGTCAGGAGCGCTACATGAACTGGCAAAACGTATTGTTTTTATTTTGCTGTTATCTAAAAGATTATTTATTAATGAATTCATGAAGTACAGATTAGAAAAAGAAAAAGATAAATAGCTATTTCCTTTGAAGTGGCTACATTGTAAATTAGCTGCATTATCTTTTGATTCAACCTGTGTGCTTAAGATAATGATCTAAACAGCAAGTAATTTGTTGGTATAATGAAAGGAGGTTGTTATTCCTTATTAATTGTTGCTTGTATTGATAGCACATTTTATTTTGATTCCCAATTCACAGTTGAACCTTTAACAATCCATTTAGTGTCAATGCTTCAATCAAAGAGCTAGTAATATACGAGGGAGGGTGTATGAACCTGTACTGCTACATCATACACACAGACACACACACATATATATATAATCTCAAAGTGAACAATACTTTTCTTCAAATAAATTTCAGCTGTGATCCACCTCACCTGCTATGATAAACAATTGTAAACACACAACTGCATTTGGAGGGAAGACTAAAACCATCTCTATGAGAAGAAGAAACACAGCAAAAAGTATAAACAGAAAGAATACACAGATTCTTCTCTATATTATTCAATGTCTTCTAAGATGATGAAGTTCCGTATTTTTTGTATATAAGCCCATTAAATTTTCTGTAAGCTTAGACTTCAAGCATGCACTAATCTTTGTTAAAGAAAATCATATGAAAAGGAAAAATACACAATCTTGATTGAAAGCACCTTTTATTAATAATTAATTTATTACTATTTGTTTATTCCTTGTGTATCACCTAATCATTTATTTCCAGTATATCTGCCAAACAGATATAAACAACTCACCATTGAACAGGTTTAGTCCATAAATATACTTCATTTTTATTGGTCAAAGAACCATTTAATCAAAATAATTGCCTTAAAGATTCTGTTTTTACCCATCTGCCTTTGTAACAGGCTACCTACTTCTAATGTTTATTTCCCTACAAAAAAAGAAAGGAAAAGAAAGAGGCTGCTTCTTAAGACATTACTGCAACACTATATTGACAATAGCTATTGCTCAGTGCTTAATAAAATAAATTTTAAGACATATGATCTGATGGGCCTAGTATGTTATAAAATATAAAACAGAAAATACATGACAAATACTACATCATAGCAAACCAACTGGTTAATGTTGAAGAGCTACACCAAAAGTCTATCCAATTTGGCACTTCGTTTACATGAGCTAGCCAGATGCTAATGGAACATACAGACAGGATAAAAGCACAGCATCACTGTTCTTCTTGGGTTCCTCTGCAACTGGAATTCAAAAGAGTACTGTGTCTGATAAAAGAGGGCAATCTCTTCCCCTTAAGAGGAGATCCAAAGTAACTTCCATAAATGGTAATTTGATCCCAATGGTTTCAGACTATAAATATACACTCACCCACCATTATTCTAGGATTACTTTTATAGTAATAGGGATAGAAATGTGGTGGGACAGTGGAATATATCAATATTTTTATTGTATACAAAAGAAAATATCTCAGAGCACCAAGAAATCTACATTTTACTTATATACATTGCTTATGTCCTCAACTGAAAAAAAAATCCTATTTATCAACTAAATTGTGTTGCATGATACAGGAAATATAAAAAAAAATCAATAACGACCAAACAAAAGCTGTGAAAATTCATAAATTGCAACCCAGAATTTAAGGAAAACATGTCCTCTATTAACATTTTACTCTCATTAAGTGTATAACACAGCTACCAAGGGACAACCTGTTGCACATTCTATATTACCGAATGTAATATAACAGGAACCCTCGTCAATGTAATATATACATGCAGAAACTTACCTACTTGTATCAAGTACTCACACCTTTGCACATTCTGGACTATAATGAATATATTCACTTAACAACAACAACAACAAAAGACCTATGTTACAAAAATCATGTTTCCTCAGATTGGACAGAAAGTTATTCAGTTTGAGGAATTGAGGCAGATCATCACAAATCATTATAACAGCATGGATGCAGGATTTTCAGACTTAATTCCTATTCATATTAGGATGTCTCACTGATTTTTAAACAGACTTACGTCTGAATAAGCTACACCAAAGATTGGATTGCACTAGAAAACTAAGGCACTTCTTACTATGAATGTTAATTATATGACTACATTTACAATCCAAAAAGAAACTTTTATCCAAACTTCTTACATCTCTTGGTGAGAATTACATCTGCGCTACAGCTTCCAGAAACAAATTTCTAACACATATCAGAGGAAAAATATTTAAACCAAACCTAAAAAAGAGACTGTATGGGCAGGTATTTCTTTTTCATACTGAAGCCAAATATGTATTAATGGAAAAACAGTTTATCAGTGGAGGTTTTGGCAAAAGTCAAAATGGAACATAAAACAACATTATTAGTAATATTTAATAGTACATATGATAATTCAGTAAAAGCATTCAAGAATTACAAAAAAAATAAATCAAACAAGGGAGAGGAAAACAATATATAACTTACAGAAACTCGTATCCAAAGATGCTATAATACTTCAAATAATCAATTTGAAAAGATGAAAAAGCTTACAGATCCTGCCCATTTCTTCCCATCCTTTCCCTTCACAGATTCACAGTTCTGTAATTTCAATAATTCTCAAACCCTCTAAGCAAAATGGATTTATTAGGATGCTATTTTAAAAGACCACAGGAGTTCTATATGCCAATAAAGATTAGACAAACAATAACTGCTAACCATTGTGCATACTCAGATAAACAAACCTGTTCACAAACAAAGCACCTTATTGTATTCCTACTGTTACCTCCACTAATCCTACTAAAACAGTCAAGACAACAGCTTGGAGGTCATGAAATGAAAATTGAAAACAAAGGCTTCCTAAACCTCTTGAAATCAAAGGAAAAATCACTCTCATTCTTCTGTGTTTTGAAGGCACTTAAGTGTTCGCAATTTTTTTTGGTCATATGTTGACTTCTTTTAACTGCATGCTGAATCAATACAAACTGGAGGTCATAATCCAAACAGTGAAAGCACAAAGACTAAACAGCTATTCATCCTAAAACTTGCATAACTCAATACTTTAGATAACACTTTGCCAATACAAAGACACATACAATCCAAGAACAATCCAAGAGAAAATGTAAAAAGGATACCAAATAAAGAATATTACTCAGCATTATTCTGCTTATTTCTTAGTGAAAGGTAGGACCATAAACACTGCAAATGAAAACAATAAGTGGCAACACTACATGTATCATAAATGAATGGAATAGTTTCCTCCATGCTGGGACTAAAGGTCAAAAACTACAGCAAAAACTGAACCAGACACATTTCACAAATGAATAGTATTAAAAGAAAATGTCCAGATATTAGTTGCTTCATTGTAAAAGGAAGCTCATGTCCCTCTCTGACATTTCTCAGAAGCTGCAGCAAACCATCACCAAACTCCAAAGGTGGTAAAAAGTATTGCCTGCTCAGGTGTCCATCCCCCTGATTTTCCATTAGGCAAACTGTTTCCTAGGAAAAAGCTTCACCTCTACCCCACTCAATCCTTTGCAGAGAATAACCAGGGTTTCAGATCATGAGAGCAGAGTGTGGAGTTTGGAAGTCGAAAGCAAACATATTAAGAGAAATCGAGACACCTTTGTCCTGGAGCCTTACCTCTTTTTGGCCTAGGGAAGCTGTCATGCAAGTGAAAAACGACTTTCTCCACAAAGTGCTGAATGTTACTATGCTCGGGTCCTCTAACAAATACCATCCAGTCGTGAGTAAAACCTTCCACGGTGGGTTTCTTCCTCACCTGGGCTCGATGGCCAAGCTCCAGTTTCACCTGAACAGCACACTAGGGAGAGAGAGAGAGAGAGAGAGAGAAGGATAACAATGAGTACCAGAGAAAAAGCAAGGATACCTCCCCCTTTCCCTCAACTCCACTCCTGTAGATTTCAAGGTTCCCTGAAAAGGACAAAAAGAAAACACACACAAAGAAAATAGCTGCCTGCTTATGGAGGGTAAGATACCATTCTCTTACTTTTAAAGAGACATTGCCAGGAGGAGAGCAGCCGGGATTGTAACGGAATGCAGGCTGGAAAAATGCAATCTCGAGGCCGGGGTTGGGTACAGAATTTAGGGTTGGGGGACACGAGAAAGTGGCAAGGAAATAAGGGGGGTGGAGAGAACGAATTTCCGAGGAGGTTCATTCCCATAAGAAGCCATGCCAAGAGAAAAGAAAAAAGGGAAAAGAGCAGCGGACTAAATAATACTATTATTGCATATTGGGGGCTTATCGGATTTTCAATGGAGCTGGCTATTTCAAGTTGCATTTGAAACGCGCTCCTCCGGCGAAGCAGAGTCAATAGCAGAGGGGAGAAGAAGAGGATGAGGAAGGAACCGAACAAGGAAAGGAGGTGCGGCGATTGAAGTAGTTTCCAAACCCATTTTTTTTTTGTTTTGTTTTTTTGCAGGAGAGGGAGCTTCTCGCCTCCGCCTCACCGCCACGCGCGTGCATATATAAAATATACACACATATACATAGATATACACCTAGCCACGCGCAGAAAGAGGAAGACTATCGGGGGGGGGGAGGGTGAGAAAAAGGGGTGCCCGCCAGCTGTCAGAAAAGCCACGCCGGGGAAGAGAAACGCACCATCCTGAGAAGGGCGCCTTCCTGAGCGGCGAGCCAATTTTTTCCCCCCCTTGCACACTGTTACTCACGGCTCCCGCCGCCTCCCACCCTCCCCACTTCCACCTCCCCGGGCGCGCGGCGGAGGCGGGTTGCTTGCTGCCGTTGCTGCTGCTGCTGCTGCTGCAGAAATATGGCTGGATTTATTATCCGCCTCCAGTGTGCGTGCGTGTGTGTGTGTGTGTGTGTGCGCGCGCGCGCTGCATGCAACTGCACGGGAGAGGAGGGGAGAGGGAGCTCGCGGGGGGGGGAGAAAGAGAGAGAGAGAGAGAGAAACGAAGAGGAAGCCGCACGCGAGAGGAGGGTTGGCGGAATCGCCCCCCCCTCTCCCTCCTCCCCCCACTTCTCTCTCTCTCTCTCTCTCTCCAACCTCTTGCTATATAATTGCCAGCGCTGTGAGGAGGAGGAGGAGGAGGAGGAAGAGAAGGGCGGGGGGGGGGGGGAGAGGGAGAGGTTGCTCTTTGCATGTACTCACCGAATTGGCCATGCCTGGGGGCCTTGGGGTGTCTTCAGCTCTCCCCGCCCCCACCCTCTCCGCTCTAATTCATGAAGAAACGGAGAATGCGCGCAGGAAAGGAAAGCCCATGGCGGACGCCTTCGCTCGCTTTCGCCCTGTGGGCTCCTTATTTGTTTTTATTTTTAATTTTTTTTTTCCGCCTGCTGATAGTACTGCTGCCGCTGCCGCCGTCGCCTTCTTCCTTGTCTGTCGCTCGGCTCGCTCCTTATTAAACTAAGCCCCCGGCTCTGGCTGCTGTGAGCTACCGAGAGCATGCGCCCTGGTGCACTCCTGTGCCAATTCCTGACACTCTCATGGCTACAACACCGGGCCAGAAGAGGAAAGGAAGGGAGGAAGGAAAATTAAAAAAAAAAAAAAAAAGGGGGGGGGGGGGGGGGAGGAGGGGTGGTAAAAGAGAAAAGAGGGAGAAGCCAATCAAAAGCAATGCCGGGAGTCCGGAATAATAATAATAATAGTAATAATATTAATAATCAATCATGGGAAGAAAAGATTGAAGGAAACCCTCGTGCAGGTCGGAGCCGTGCGAGGCGCGCAGACTGCGAGCTTCCCCGCCCCGCCGTCCACACACACAGACACACACAGACACACACACTTTCCGTGCAGCGCCTTAAAGTAACAGGTTTATTGAACGGAGGGAGGTGGGAGAGTCGAAAACTGTCCAATTACAAAAAAAGTAAAAGTCCTGGGATTTGACAATAAAATAATAATTTAAAAAAAACCCCGGATTAAAACTGCTGGAATGTATGCCTAGAACCCTTTTTAGCCGGTAGCGAAAAGGGTGAGGGGGGGCGTCTTTTTCGTGATGAGGCAAAACGGCTGGAGTTCCCCCCCCTTTTTTTTTTATAATGGAGGCAAAGATCTTTTTAATAAGAATTTAGAGAAGGAAGGAGGGTGTGTGTGTGTTTCAAAACATTTTGGAATTCCTGCATTCAGCGGTTGCCAATTAACGTTTTAAGTGATAACTGGAATGAGGTTGGTAGGCATTTTTGTACAAAAGTGAATGAAAAAATGCTGGTGGAAGAAAATCAAAGGCCTTCAATCAAATAAGGTGTGTGACTGGAAAGTTGAAGCAACTTGTAACTGTGTTTCGTTTCATTGATATAATTGTATATCAATGAAGCCAAAGAAACACTCTTTTGGTTAGATCACAATTAGTGTTCTTTAGGTCAATAAATAGGCATTGATTGATTCCAGTATAAAATTAGCTGTGGGATTACTGGTGAGGTGAATGGGTTAAGAAATGAAGGAATGGAGAGATGTCCCGCTCAAAGGCCCACTGGCAGACCTTGGTTGTTGTCTCTAAACCCACCTTACAGGATTTTTACCCCCCCAAAAAACCCAAAAAGTAGAAACGAGATTCATATGGTTCCAGAAATCCTAGAAGGATGCACCCAGAATATGTAACAGAAAAAGAATGAATACTTGTCCTTCATTCAGCTTCCCTTCATTAAAAAAATAAAAAATACAACACCTAAAATGAAAGTTTAAATCTGAACATATTCTGACCTGAAGTAACACTCCCAAAATAGCAACCGCAATCAATTATTGACTGCAGTGCTTATAAAATGTACTTGAAATCCAATACACTTTAGCAATCAGCAGTTGTAATCGTTAAAAAGACCAATAATCTGGTTCAATTTTTGAGGGACAGGGAAATAGTTGCTTTTCTTAAAGTTATTGATACATCTTCAAGATAGATTAGTGTGTAATATGTGCACATGGAGGTAGAATGAGATGAAAATAGGGCAATAGCAATCTTTACATTCAATACTTTCCTACTCAGGTAAAATACCAAAATGTCCTTTAAACTCAAACTACCTATAGATTTAACTATAATGTACAACCCTAAATTAATTCAAGTTTGGTTAACATAAAAACTGCCACATCTTTTTTTTTTCACTTCTCATGTGGCCTTATAATAAGAAACCTGTGTGTTCCAGTCACTGATAAAGTCCATACAGAACACTTGGTTTTCATATTTTTAACAAGAGAACAACCATAAACCTCTAATTCTGTGCCTTAGTGTGATTTTAAACATGCCTTATCCTTTGTTTAACTGGAAACTTGAATAATATCACTCCTCATTCCATTTTAGGATGAATATAGATTAGGATTCTCTAGACTGCTGTGTAACAACCTCTTTTGATCATCTTCTGTAAAGCTTCTTTTTTTAATGTTTAGCATCCAGTCACATAATAAATTCAAAACCTATATATAAGTTTTATAAACAATAAAAGTTTTCTTACTTTGTGAACTTTTCACTGGTCTTAATAAAGATGATTTGATTTTTTAAATGGTTTTATGGACTTTAAATGTTTTATTCTTTGTTATCTCCTTCTTGGAGATTCCAAATACAAGTTTTTTCTGAGAAAGAAAGTGGAGTAGGGAGAGAATTCTAACATTTTTGGTTTTTTTTTTTCAGTGCCATCCCTCTGCCCAACAATGCAATGCTATATATGCACAGATGGAAGTAAGTCCCACAGTGTTCCGAAGGGAGGGTCTTCTAGGTTGTCCCCTTGAGAGTTGGAACAGATTTTCTAATCTATTAAGAAAATAGATATTAGAGGCAAATAAATCAATGAAAGTTCTCTTGTAGTCTCTGAATTTTTCTTTTGGGATCTTCTTAAGGTCCCCAAATCATTTCTTGATGGGACCTTCCTAATCTCACTGGGTTTGTACACTTTTAATTGGAAAGGATGGAATAAGTGTAAGCAAAGTGACTCCAGGATATTCAGTACTACTAGACCTAGAATACTGAGTGGACATACTTATACTGTAGCGAAGAAGTTTTTGTTCATAGTACTGTAAACAGTTTAATTGATAACAAAATACAGGTTTCCTAAACACTGTAATGGAAGAGTGGCTAGATGTAAACATGGGAAATAAATAGCAGCTTTTGAGCCCAAGTAAGACTCTGTGTAGTTTTTAAACAATTAAATTGATTCTTTATATTATTTTGGTGATGTTAAAGATTATTATTCAAAGATTCTTGGGTCAAATAATTTACCAATTTTAATTGCAGCGTGGGTTAAAATGTTGTTTAGGTATTTATTTCTTCATTGCAAATAATAGTCAAACTGTGTTCCAAAGTGTTCCATGTTTTCTTTAAAACTTAGTAGGATGTCTTTTTTGGAAAGAAAGTCAATGGCTGGCTTTCTGGTATCAAATATTTTGGTCATTTTTCTCCATTTGAGGATGGGGAGTTTTATGAAGTAAGATGGATGTCAAACCTGGCAGATACTTAAGGTTAACCATTTTGCCCTTTAAAACTTCCAAAACCTGCCCACTCTACTTTTGTAAATTGTATCTCAAGAAACCACATAAACCCTACTGAAGCTTTCAAGACCATTGAAATTGTGCATCTCTGACTTAGCTGGTGTACTCATTCAATCAGAAAGTATATTGAAGCCTTTCTGAGAAATATATGGTCCACTTGTCTTAGCTTTCCTCAGCAATACAGAATTAAAAGAGAGAAAGGGGGCAGGCAAGGAAGAAGCAGTTGTGTGGGATTCAACATCCCAAACTGAATTCAGCTGACAGGGATATGTGATATCTCAGTGGCACTATTGCTGAAGCTACACACAGTTGTGCTCTTACCAAGTTATTTGTTGGGAGCAAGGCCGGTCCTACCTTTAATAAAGATAAGCTGTTTGTGTCAACTATCACATTTGGAATAATATTTCATTATAGTTTAAACCATTATTGTATCTTTATTGTCCGATATGAGGAAAGCAAGGAATGATTTCCTGTCTTTTTATCAACATAACTGATTGTTTTAACTATTACAAATCTTAGTTTGATTGATAATCATGTTTTTCTTTTCTCTCTCTCTCTCTTTCTTCGAAATGGGCTGAATCTTTATGTAAAATTGAGATAGTGTAAGAAAACTTGAAAAAGACCACAAAACCAAGGCACAATAAAGAAAAGGAGGCAACACTACAGAATACATGCAACATTCTAGCTCCATCTTTTCAGCCCCAGTATTGTGTAACCAAAGTGCAGAAATTTCCAATTTTCAGCACTTTTTTCAGCTACAATTAATATTACATCACTAGTAGAATACCAAAACTATTTTGCTTGAGTCCTCCCTCAAATAAACAAAGTTCAGCCTCATATCCCCCAGTAAAATCATTGTCACCTGCCTTTCTTAGCATCAAATCAACAATTGATCAGTAAAGGATCTTTCCACCCCTCATTCCAAAAAGAATACCCATCCTTTTAAGTGTACAAAAAGTGGTGTCCAATTCTTACATTATCACCTGAAGAAAAGGAAGAAGAAAATCTTTCTCTGCATGCCACAGCATAGCCTTCACCTATGCTGAGAGGTTATAGGGGTAGCCAAGGAAAGAGAGAGAGGTCCATTTGGTGTACGTAAGCCTGTTCACACAATATTGAACTTTGCTTGTGGAAGTGAGTACACAAATAAGTTTTAATACCAATACTTGAAATTAGGGGGGTTCAGTTTAAGTCAGACCTTTCCATTTGGTAGATCACTCATGGTAGTAGTTGTAGGGACAGCATTTCTAATGGAAACCTTTTGGATGTCTTCACGTAAAATATTACTATGCAGTGATTCCAGAAGTCTTCCCATTGATTTTGACAGTTAACCACTGCAGCATAAATTACAATCCCTGACATTAGTGTTGAGTAAAATGACATAAGCTGCTGAAATATATTAATCAGTAAGCCAACCTTACATTATTCAATTGAAGATTTGCAGTTGGAAAGAATAATAAAAGTAGTTCTTGCTTTGAATATACAATAGTGGATATTTTTAAAATAAAATTACTTCCTACAACCTTGTAAAATGGATTGTTTGTGTTCCTCTTTGATGGACTCCGCAAACCTCACCCTGAAAAAAATCTACAATGAAAAACAAACAATGTGCAAAGGTTTGGAAGGTAAAGGTTGGAAAGAATCTAAATACACAGGCAAAGGTAGAGACTCATTGTGAACCCAGAAAACTTACCTTAAGAAACAAAGGGAAAGAAAAATTCAAAGAATGTACTAATTGAATAAATGCAACTGGTGATGATGGATTAGAGGAGGAAAATGGCACATCTAATAATATTTAAGAACTGCTTTTATCATCACTCATTGCATTGTGGCATCCTTTAGAAGATTCTGAAAAGTTTTTTTTTTTTTTTTTTTGGAATTGTTGTTGGTTTGAATTATGTAGCACAATTTTCTGGACTGGGGAAGAGAAATGTATTTATATTATTTACAAAAGTTAACTCATTCATTCATGTGCACACACACACATGTATATACATATATGTTTGTAGTATTGCAGTAAGCAACATTTTCCCCATGCTTTGGGTGAGCACTTTCCCATCTTGCTTTTAC